TAAATGGCTATGCGCGTAGAGCGCATGCCGAATTATAGTTTATTAAATTTTTACAAATTTAAGGAGTTGAATTTAACTTAAGGATGCTTTAATAATTTTTTTCACAGAAAAGGTGGTAGATAAAAACGCCCACTCCAATTGCATGTAACTGATAAGTCCTGCAACTGTTAGTGAGAAAATTTCAATGTTCCATGACGTGATGAAGAGTGGAGGGGTGGGTGATCCTTTATATCTAACTTTGATAGACGTCTACCCTTCGGCTAGTTTGACGACAATGACCTTGTGTCTTGGTGTAACTTATTCATCTCTATATATAACTACGACACGCCACATGCATGTACACGTGATTGGAATTATACAGAGTGTATCAACTTTTTCCTCTATAAACATATTTGCATCACACGAAGTAATGCGAAAACCACCTAAGGCATGATACGAATACCAAACTTGCCACCAGAAGCAATAAAACTATTAATCGCATGGCAAATAACTCCTTTATTAATTCAAATCATTTGAGAGAATATTACTGGAAATACCAAGTCCGCTCACAGCCAAGCGGAACGTAGATTAATGGATCGATACTTTTCCCTTCGGGAGAGAAAATATTTTATTGAAACCATCAGCTGTGGAACAGGTTCTAGAACAATATCCTACTATAAGACTGGTGTCAGAAGCGAGTCTATTTCTACAATTGTGCTTATAGCGAGGATTCGAATGTAAATTTTTCTGCATTAAAAGCCAGCACAAGTTATAACTGTTTTTAATTCTTCCTTTAATTCAGAAATTGAGGATTCTGTAGCAGTAATATTTCTTCCACTTTTGATAAAAGAACGTACTACAAAACATTCAGGCTTACTTAACATTTATTCTGTAAGTATTGTAGTGAAAGATTTATTTGTGCGTCATAGCCACTTGATCGCTCTCTTTCTAATTGAACAGGGCATTTTTATCCGGTATTTTATATTTTTTCGGATTATTTTTTTTGGTTTTGTCTTTTATACATTGCTGCAGAGGGGAAAACTATTTCAGAGCTTTATAGCTCGATTTTGCCAGTGCAAGCTTTGGATTTTTATTATATATTTAATATTGCATATCCCACCTCAGCAGGGAATGTATTTCTTTTTTTAAAGGCTGCACTAATGGAAAGGTCAGCCGAAGCTAAGAAACAAGTTGTTGTACATAAGTTCTTTCAAGAATTAAAGTAATTCATACAGCAGACATAAATTTACAGAAAGATGGTATTTTACATAGTTATATTGTCGTTTTAGATATAATTATTGTGCATATCTTTTGTATCTTATTTAAAACTGTATTTCTTGTCGTTATCATAATTGAAATTTAAAAAAATTGTACTTCTTGTGTTTTGTCAAATTGTCTTAACTACAGAGTGTCACAATTTCTACATAACACAACAACTCCGAAAGAAGAGAAGAGTTATCTTAAATCCACCTTTGGAGTTACACTTAACTCCAGAAATGGAGTTAAAATTTTGGAATAAAATTTAACTCCAAAGAAGGAGTCATTCTGCATCTTTTTATTGTACTCCACCTTTGGAGTTAAAATGACTCCTTGAAATCAACAGTGAAGAAGCGACGAATATGAACCTTGAAATTGTGCTGATAAAATAATTTGCATGCAGAAATATCATACTCAATTACTTGTGGATTAAAAATTCGAGATAAAAATGGTGTAAATACATATGAGGATGATTTTCAAGAGTCACTCTACATTCATTGGCAAAGAATACGTATGTTTGCAATCTAATGTAAGAAAGGCGCGTAATACATTTTTTTTAAATGAGAACTGCACTCCCATGTTTGCGAAAAGGTCCTGGTTTTCACACTCTAAACGATAACCGGTAAATTTTACACAGCACAAAATAGTAATTCTTGCATGCCACTGCTAATGTAGCTACTCCAAATTTCCTTTAATCATCTAATCATACTTTCCTAATTGAACATTGACCTTTTCATTAACATGTTTGATTGTTACCCACCTGACTTCATCTAACCATATTTGCACTGTCTGGAAAACGTCATTCACAGGGCAATGCTCAATTAAAAATAACTTTTGTTCCGTCATAATAATGAATAAAACGATAAACATACCTTTTCGCTTGCACTTGCTTCGTTTGCACGCCCATGCATCAAGGTAATACCCATGTTTTCTTGCTACAAAGAACAAATAATCGATCAATGATAATGTATACATTGTATTTTTAAAATATCTATACATATAATGATAACCATTAATGTCTTATAATGATGTAAATGCCAGTGCATACATCTAGTTCACACACTTAAGAAGTTCGAACAACCATATATTTCATCAATTGTCAACATTTTACCCAAGGACCATAAGTAAGCAATCAATTTATGAACGCAATGTGTTCAATCACAATTCACGCAGTCGATTCATTGATAAGTTCATCATAAAGTTTTTACCAAAGCCTTTATCTCGTTAGCAGAACACTGAGGTATATTGCTGTGCAAATGCTTAGAGGCTGAAATTAACATGCATAACCAAGCCATGAAAAAATATACCCATTAACTTTATTATCCACATATATCAACAGTAATGGGATGTGCAAGAGTTACGACACTACGGTTTTTCGTGGAAAACAAACCCTTTCACAAAGTACTGACTGATAATAAGGAAGTTTCAGGTCATGCTAAAACATGTACATGGGTAAACGAGGGAGGGTTTCCATGGTAGTTGGATCAAACAGTGATTTGCCTACCCTTTTCGTAAACAATATTTTTGCAATCGTGCTGATACATATAAATTTTAACCTGTGAAACTTTTCCTACCGAAATACTCATTCTCTCTTAATGCACCTCTGAGACGTCTTTTGATCTTCTAAATCTTATTTAGCTGGTCCAAGTTGCCTATCCCGCTCATTTTTTTGCGGGGGTGAGAAACGTTTATCAATAATTTTTTCCGTTTCCATTTCAAAGAAATATCTTTTTCAATGAGTTGAGATCACTTTCAATGAACTCCTCTGATGACAGTCTAAGCGTTTCCTTTGTCAAACACTTTACTAAAGAAATCTTTTCTCCAAGTGAAGAAAAAGAGTCAAAGCGTGTGTACAAACCCATAAGAGTTGCCTTCCGACGAATACTAGTAAAGAATTGACCATTGCATTATGGATTATGTTTTAAATTTATCCCTGTTTTGAGCGTCATTTTCTCTTTTAGAGATGACGTACTTCTCTATTTTGATATTATAAATATCGGTAGATTTTAAATTTTCATTTAGCAGAAGTTAACACCTGATCAGTATGTAGTCAGCGAAATGCACCGTGTCGCTTAGTTTCATAACAGTTCTTTTAGAACTATTAACTTAATGCTTTTGCCATTCACCATGGTGTTTGCGATCTTTAAAAGGATTTTCAAATACATGTTTGTGGATATAGATCGTCCAGCTTAGTAGAGTCCTGAGAAGTACTGTTGTGTTGACTGTTGACTGGCAAGTCAATAGTCAAAGCAACACTACTTCTCAGGACTCTACTAACCTGGATGATCCACATCCATAAACATGTAGCTATACTCCCGGGCTCAAACCATTTACAGTAATATTTTAACATACTTTGTCGCTTGGTCCATCGTGTTCATAGGCAGAGCTTTCTCCTGCGAACTCCTTTTGCGGCTACAATAATAAAAAACAATGACAAAATAAGCATTTGAATACAATAATGATATTTATACGAATATTGGGTATGAAAACTATATCTGACTGATGTTGAAAGAACGATGAATATGAGCCTTTGAAATGACGTACAATTTAATTTTTTTCCCAAATGAAAGTAGTGCTGATAAATCAGCATGCTGAAATATTACACACAACTAGTCGTGGATTAAAAATTCGAGATTCAAAAGCTGTAAATACATCTTAATTTGTTTAATCGTCAAATCCTACTTTACTTATTGAATATCGACCTTTTCATTAACTCTGTTTGACTATTAACCATCTGACTTCATCTAACCTCATGAGCACTGTCTGGAAAACCTCGTATACAAGGAATGGCTAATTTTAAAATACTTTTTATTCCATCATAGCAATTAATAAACTTATAAACATACGTTTTCGTTGGAGTTCTCACGCCCATTTTCATGCTACAATGAACAAATAATTAAGTAATGATTATATATACAATGTACTGTTACAATATTTGTACAAATGATAACAACCATTGATAATGAATAACTTGTAATAATGTTAATGCCAGTACGTGTATGTGGTAAATCCACTTAAGAAATTTAAATCACCAAATACTTTATCATTTGTTTTATTTTTCATGGACCTTAAGTAACACCATCCACAATTATGTGCAATAATAAATCGACATACAGTTGGATCTTTATGTAGTTCACCAATTTCTTCTATTGGCTCCTCTTTCAATGTTTCTTGCCCATATACCTATATACAATAAGCAAGGATTAAATGAAACAGTTTCCTACCCACCTTTTTTGTGAAATGAAATTTTTAAGTTTGGTCATCCAAGTTAAAACTCATAAAAATAAAAAATAACTACACAAGGATGAAATTTGGCATTGAACAGGAATTTTGTGAACTATGGGATATGAGATCAAGAAAAATCACCTTTTTGAATTGAAAACCAAGTTTTTCATTCAATATCCGTATTTCATCGCCTGTTTCGCTGAGTTGCAACTCCAATCTTCGTTTTTTATCGGGTATTTCGCTGAGTTGCAACTCTAATCTCCGTTTTTTATCGTTTATTTCGCTGAGTTGCAACTCCAATCTCCGTTTTTTATTGTTTATTTCACTGATTTGCAACTCCAATCTTCGTTTTTTATCGTTTTTTTCGCTGACTTGCAACTTCATTCGTTTTTCTTCTTGTTCTTTGTTATATTCATTGGGGAGACAAAGGAATCTCTTTAAAAATACACTGACTGAAATTTAATCAGTGACGAATAAACAAATAACTAAGTAATGAGAAAATATGTATGTGTATTTTAATGATATTCATTGGGGAAAGAAAGGAATCTCTTTAAAAATACACTGACTGAAATTTAAACAGTGACGAATATGAGCTACTTTCTTCATTATAAAAGAAGCATAACCTTTGAAATGGTATGAAACGTACGCATTTATGCGTAAAAAAGAAAAAGGATCAAGCTCATACGGGTAATAATACATTGTTTTTAAACATAATATGCCATGGCGAAGTAAAATACAATTTTTTTCTCTATATTACTGTCAAGAAGAGTACTAAAATCCTTTAAGAACCTAAAAAAACCGGAAAATTGATTTGGACTTGCATAACCTATAACTATACTATATGCTTTTCTTAAAAATGTATGATGTTTGTTGTCCTGGTGCATCTTTTTACTAAAATAGTCGTACTATGCTACTGCTGATTTATTTTATCTTCCCAACAAATCATCAAGCTTTTATTTATTCTCAACTTTTCATGTATACCTCAAAACTGTCCAAGTCTGTATCTTGCGCCTCGGCCATGATCTGACACAGAAAATGAATTTCACATTAATCGTTCAGGACATTGCCAACATGGTGCTCATTTCATTGAGAAGCAGCCTTTCAAGTGAAATTTTTGACAACATATAAACAAATTAAGATCTTACCACTTTTATTTTTATACTTCATAGATCTTCCCAACTATATGGAATGAATTTCAAGCCCAGCTGCAAAAGAGTAAAAAATAAAGAAAATCAAACAATTTTGTCCCATAAAAAATTCTAAATATCCGTAGTTCGAGTTCAAACATCGGATAAATTATAAAGATCTATGATATGGAACACGTAGAGAATGTACTCCATTGCATGGAGTATAGGCAGTACATCATAGTGAACAAACGTACCATTACGTCATTATGTCTGGATTATTATGCGTTTTTTTTTGTTTTGAAAAGGCATTCTTATGATTTTTTTTTCTTCAAAAGAAGAATATTCTAGATTTTGGTACAAGGAACAACTTTTTTGGGCGAGCAGCCTCCTACCCCCCCGTCAAATTTGTTGAGATGTCAATTTTTCGGGCATGTCAATTTGTCCATTTAATCTCGTGCATTTAATTTTATGAAAATTTTGAATCCAAACCAGCGCAATTTATACTATAAAAGAGTGAATTGAAATGCACGTAAATTTAATCTAACGAAACTTATGCTTTAAAAGTTTGGACTGTGAATCTAATCTATGGAAGGCTTGCAAATAATGGAAAACTGATTTTAGAAGGAGCAACGCTCAAAAAATGATTTGCGAACTCGTAAATCGTAGGAGCGAAGGCTTACAGTTACAGTATCCAAATTTTTCAATACTTGGTGTAAAAATCGACATTTTGAAAAATCTCGACAATTATCGATCCTTGGTATCGGGTATCTTACAAACGAGGGTGCGAGAAAAGTGCCTTATATGCTTGTTTTTTGGTAATATTTTGTTAATATTGGTGATTTGGGAAGCTTGGCATAGTAACTTTATAGTGATTGATAGTAGTAGATAGTAAGTGATTGCAATCTAATATTTAGCGGTTTGATATTATGATATATTGCAGAAACTGATGTTTCTGCAATATATCATAATATAAAGCACCAAGTCAGTGTTAGCTACATCTTACACAGCATGCACTTGTTGGTATAAAAAAGATCAAGCGAATTGCCACAGGGACAGCGGAAGCAAGAGACAAAGCAGACAGGACTAGCTTAACTTGAATTTGCAATCTCAAAAAACTGAAATTATGATTTTCACATGGTATGTTGCCTCCAATCATTTCATCTGCTGAGTTAACCATGCGAATGACCGTTAATATGTTCTGACCGAATGACCTTCATATGAAGCTCGCATAGCCCAAAATATGTAAATAAAAATTAACTGACAAGTTCCTATGCACATAAAATTTGCAACAATCCTCTCCATTCCGAAAATAGGAAATGCTGCCTATAAAATTGCGCCTGTGAAAAAAAGCCAATCCTTTGCTTCAAGTGTTATGTTTCTGTATTCATTTGGTAAAGACTTCAAACTAAACTACACATCTGGTGTTCCACTGAAAATACGACTCTCAAATCTCGATCAATGCCAACCTAACACTACCGTCCTCTAGCTCTTTCGATGTAGCTTTACCAACATTGGAGAACAACGACACTTCTTCTTCAATGTTGGTAAATAATTTGTTAAAACTTAATAGCCGAAGGTTTGTCTCAGAACTTAGGTTTTTGAGTGGTTGTCATTACGACGAGTTAATTCCTGTACCGCAAACCCGCCTGCCAATTCCCAACTCATGAACACTCATTTACTTCCGGTGTGGTGGTAATTATTTTTGCTTTTCTTTGTGGGGGGTATAAAACTAAACAATAATGGCAGGCACTCAGCGACACACTCTTAATGTAAAATGTGCGATACAGAAATAGCCTTTTTTGATTTTTTTTAAACATCCAGTAAATTATTTGAAGTCGTCATGATATTTGAAATATCTACGTACGACAGCGTTTATGTATGTCGAGGATAGTCACCGTCTGAACGACATAGTCGACATTAAAGAATCAAGTCTACGCTTGAATTGAATTGAAACCGATTAAAGCGTCTGTTGATTAACAGCTGGGCAGCAGTCATGATTATAAAAAAAAAAGTTTCACTTGGCAGAGATTTTGAAAATTCTTGTACCTACCAGCAAGCAAAGTTCAGAAAGGTGATAATTTTTAAGATAAATCATAAATCTCTGTTTCAGTGTTTTGTTTGCAAATGTGTGTGCAGGACTGCAAGTGTGTTTATCGTATGCTCATCTATGCTTAAGGAATACAAAATTTTCCACATCCCACAGCGCATGTAATGAAAAAAGACAATAAATGTAGTTTGGATGTGATAAGACAATGAAAAAACTCAAAGAAGAATATATATATATATATATATTGTTATTGCTACTGGCTCATAAGTCATTGATTATTAGATAAGTAGCTCACCTGGATTAAGAATTTTTAGTTTCTGGTGCAATACAACATTGTTGATATTCATTTTAAGTTGAGCTACACAGCTTTTACACGGATACATAGGTACACAATCCATTTATTCCTCGATTTTGTCATATTTTTTATTCATGTTAAAAGTAATACTATTCAATGTACACTGTGATTAGTTTACATAATGGGGGCTCTGGGATGGAGGTGGACAATTAGAATGAACTGGGATGGCGTGAAACTTCAGCTGAACTAAATTGTTGGAAAAGCCTTTTAAAAGAGTTTTCATGCTGGTTGCAAATGTTAAAATAAGAAAAAAAAAGTGATTCTTATCTAATGATGAGGATTCAAACATAGCATGAAATTGCATTGCAAAGTGTATTTACTTCAGAATTCTTTTGCAGTCAAAGAATTTATGGCTAAAATGTAAAAATCACTAGGGCCACAACATTACCAAATGTAAAAATGTATTTGTGGTTAAAGCATTTTTAATTTCAATTTTATTTTTTGCCTTTGAAATCCATTTTTTAATTCAAAATTTTTAGAATAGGCTATTTTGATTTCTTAATTGCATTTTTCTCTCCCTCCAGGTGTTATGAAGATAAAGTATATACCTACGTATCCAATGCCAGATCCCAAAACACCAAGTCACTACATAAACTCAGTGAACAAAGAAAGTGAGTGTATGTTTAAATCTTCCTTCATCAACATTTATGACAAAATTTTACACTTTGTGTAAAATATAAACTCATAGACAACAGTATTCAGAATGTGACAAATCAAACAATGCTTCACATTGGTGAAGTTGAGCAAAATGCTTAAAATAAAAAGCCCAAAGTCCTCAGAAGGATAAGAAAATGCTGCAACCCTGACAAATAACATCAAACATTTCCTCATATTAAAGATAAACATAACATGATGTAGTCATTGTTTTGAAGCTTTATTGATGCTCATTTGATTTTTCCAAATGATTATATAGACAAAGATATTCTGTGTTACTGGTGTCATAAAGTTGAAGGATAAAGTTGTATGATTAAATTGCTCCATGGGAAATTTAGGGGATCAGAGATTTCCCATTACATGTGGTTTGTCCAGATACAATTCATGGTATACACAATTCACTGACATTAAAGGTTTTGCCTGAAATATTTCATGCTTAGATTTCAGTGAATTACTTTAATTAATTTTCAATTTCAGTCAATGAACAATTTTGAAGTTGTAAACAAGGCAAATGTGGATTGTAGGTGGCGATTACGAAAGGTGTTAATTAGCGGGTAAAGATAGGAATCTTCAAAACTTCTTCAAGTGAATAATTTCTTTTCATAACTTGTCCCCAGCTGTTAATCAATGGACTGACTAACAACTTTATCGTTATACAAAAGAATAACACCTGCTAATTTAATTATAACTGTTTTGGCCATTTTAAATCATGCAAAAATCTCAGAATGTTGGCATCTAGCTCAGCGCCATACATGATTCACTAGACTTACATCTACACAAATGTATTTACCTCATTAATGGATGGTTTTCGTTCAACGTTGAACGAATGGTCTAGAGCTGAGATAATGGCGCCATTAAAAATCCACATTAACTAACAATTATATCATTTTGTAACAAAGTACAAATACTTACTTGAGGTAATGTCCTTGGTGCAGCCGGTGAAATTACTAGTGATTCGCTAATTGTCTGAATTTTGTCGGCTGAACAACTCTTCTTTAACTTTCTTAAGTATGGCAATATGGCAAGCCAAACAATAATCGAGATTATTTCTATACTTTTTATCCTGAGCGAAGTTATCTATGCACTGGTCGAGATTTTATCAACGAACTCTACAACAACTAGAAGGCTAACTCAATATACACGTGCCTAGTGTTGGCTGAATCCACTTACAAGCTGATTTGCCGCTTCGCCAGTATCTCGCGTGGACTGTTTTATTTGCGTGACGAATTGTTTTGCAAAAACTGCTAACTTGGAAATACAATGCTAGCTTAAATGCTTTTTTTTTGAAAACCGTCAGCAAAATTTGGTTATTAATGTGTTAAGATGCATTGTGGACGTTCCAAGACATGTTTTGTATACGTAACGCTGTATTATATAAAACATAAAAGGGAGAACTTGCTTCGAAATATGAATTTCTCATTTGTCGTCGAAAGACCAAAAATTCAAGATAAAACTGATAACAGGTAGTCTGTGTCTTTGAATGCTGTGCAAAATACACACAATCCACTTTCAAAGTTAGACTTGCTTTGTAAGAATTTCCCATGCTCTTTTTGTAATGTGTGAAAGGGATGATTTGAAATTTTGAATTGTGGGTGATTGTTGGTTCTTGTCATTTACTCCTCCCATTTCTTAAGAACTGGTGGAATATTTGACCTGCATTCATATTTGTGTATTGAGCATTTTATCAGCAAGTTCATGCTTATAAATAAATAGCCAAGTGTACACTATGACAAGTATTGCTAATATAGCCTGCTCTACATAAATGCCAAAAAGCAACCCTCAGTGGTTTGAACCAGAGAACCATAAAGCAAGCAAAGCTATATCATGTATCAAAATTTTATAGTATATCATATTGATTGTAAAATTAGTTTTTTCTTGTAGTACAAATGATGATAAATGTATATGTAATATATTAAATTTTAGGATGTGTGTTTAAAATGTTTGGTCATATTTGTGAAAATATATGATGATTCTATAATATTAGACTAATAATCTTTTTTCATACTTGTATTACATTACAATTTTTACTTAAGTGTTTCAAAAGTTATGAATATGAAGTGTCAATTGTGTTTTTGTCTTTTTTTTCAACTGGGTATTGACCCTTTTGACTCTTTAATAGTGCAATTAATAATATCACAATAATATGGCTAAACAGTTTTCTTTAAAACGAACTCAAAATATTTCTTTACTAACTTTTTAAAATATTTTGCAAAGTGTTTTTCTTTTTGTTTACGCTCTGAACTTTCAAAAAGGACTGGGGCGAGCTAGTTTTGCTCGGAAACACTAAAATTTCCGAAATACAGCGTTTTTTGCCCTGACAGCTTCATTTTCAAAGATTCAAACAATATTATAAGGATAGACAAGTGTGTTTTACATCCTTTTAAAGAAAAAAAAACGAGGGGTGTCAGTTTTGTATTCAAGTTATAAGGCAAGTTTTCACGTGCCAAAACAAAGTTCGCTTTTCATCCTTCTAAAAAGAAGCTTAAACATGCACAAATGTCGTTCAAACTTGTGTTATATTAAAGTCCAAACATTGTTTAAGGTTTTTAGACATTAAGCTGTCTCAAAGACCACTGTTTTTTGCAAAAAATCCGGCAATTTCGAAGTGATGTATTTCGCCTCCGTACCCTAAATAGGGAGCTTTAGCAAGAGTACGAATACGACAACGAGTACGAAGTTTGACCGTGTAAGAGAATGGCACGAGGAAATTTGTTGTCGTTATGGAGTTCTCGACGAAGATTTCGGATGAGAGCTTTCGACGAAGATTTAGAAAATCTGTTATTATCGATACAACACTGTATAGAACGTATAGATAGGAACGAATTTCTTGGTAACTTCAATTTTTTAGAACATTTATGTGATCGCCTTGAAGGACATATTTGGATAATAATGGCCATCTCCTTAGTCCTTAGCAATCAACAACATCCCTTATCGCCGCTCATAACGAACTTACTCAATATATTGAAAGGAAAACTTCAATTTCTACGAACACAGATTACTTTATGTAATGAGCAAGTTGCGATACGTTGTAGAATTCCAGTCCCGCAAGATGCAAGCTCTGGAGGCAGACGTAGATACATTGTTACAGCAGACGAAATTGAAGAATTACGCAGTACGGCTATGAATTGGAAAGCCATTGCCAGTTGCCTGGGAGTGAGTGCCAAAACTCTTTGCAGAAGAAGAATAGACTATGGTATAGTCTATGACGTAACAGAACAGACACTTACTATGACGTAACAGAACAAGATCTTGAATGGTACGTTAGAGATATTTTAAGATTGGCACCCTTCTCTGGCAAAACTTACGTAAGAGGAGCTTTGCATGGTCGAGGTATTCATATCCAAAGGTGGAGAGTTAGGGAAGCATTACAAACTATTGACCCTATTAACCGTGCAAAGTGAGTTTGTTAACCAATGGAATTATCATGGACTTCGAACTATGCGGAGGATGTCGCACCTTGCACTATGGCGTTCTGAGCTTAATGAAACTGATTTAACTGACGTAAATATTGATGATGTAAATTTATATGGCATTGTTCCTGATGGCGCGGGAGGTGATATCGAACCGGACAATATGGTTCAGTTGAGTTGCCGAAGATCATGTCAATGAAATACGCCGCCTTGTTCCGAAACCTTTAAGCGATGGCAGCAATCACGGAATTCACCCCTACCTCACAGCTCGTCAATATTTGCAAAACCATTTTCAGGAACAATAAAAACTATTTAATGAAAGATGATTAGAATGAATTGAGCCTTAAAAACATACCATTTTATCAACAATGGTCACAAATTCGAAGTCTAAGGATTTTTTAAGAGGTGTGCCGTTCTTGCATTTGATGAAGAGAAACACAATATACACTATAATTTATCTACAAAATAATATTTTACTACATAAATGTATCATACAATGGGCTATTGTGAAGTAAAACTCTTCACACTAAATGCAACCTCGATTGAATCAACTGCAATGATGTTGCTACCAGTAACATACTGGAGAAAAACACTAATAACGTTGTCGTCAAGAGATTTAACAAACCGCTTTAAATGAAAGAAGCATTCCCGTTCGACATCAAAGGCTGGGCTTGAAATCAGTAGCTTGCAAACCTTTTTCTGGTTTGGCTTTTTTGCTTCATAAAACTCACAAAACTCTCAACAGTTTCAAATTGCTTAAAACGTTTCAGTTGCTTCAGGATCGGTGACCATACATTAGCCGCGTATTTTAGACGCTGTAATATTTCTTGATGAGCTAACTCCTCAATAATTTTGGCATCGAGCTCTTTTTAATCACCCTGCGGCACTTGTAACTTAAAAGCACGTCAGCTACATCTTCGTCAAATGACGGGTCAGGGCATTCATCACTGATACTTCTTTTTAAAGTGTCACTTTCCTTTGATATGTACTGATGAAAAGACTCTACTAGCCAATCCTTAGGAAGCGCGTCGTCCGAAAAAGACAGGAAGCGATAAATGCACTGGACAAAGTAACAGGAAAATATCCAAAGTTAATAAATCGTGCAACAAGAATAGGAGAAATACACTTTTCCATTCACTCTGTTGGTAGTAATGACGTATAGCTGGGACTTTTTCGGAAGCACCAGTAGCCAGTGAGATATAAAACTCGCTTGAAAATATGCTAAGCGACTCTCGTTTTACACCAGAACCTCTTCCGTTTTCGATATCTCCTGCTTCGTCGATAAATACAATCTCTAAGCAACACGACAAAATACTTTCGTCCTTGAACGCAATACTCATGTCTGCTAACACATTGTGGCGGTTAATGGCGATTTCCTTAACCAAACGATTGTTTTCATGAAGCTGATTACCACTGTACAATTCACCATCTGCATCAATATTTACGTCTTCATCATCTTTCAAATCAAATAATATAGCACATTTTACAATCACAAAAAAATAAAGATTTTTATCAGGCATAAATAACAAGTTCATTTTTATAACACTTTTGGTAAAAGTGAGTGATTGATGTCTGCAGATAAAATTTATCACAGTTTAATAATATTAATAGTAGTACTAACAATAATACTAATAATGCAAATAATGCAAGGACTAATAAGGATACTGAAGGATAAATGCTAGGGTACTTGGGATACAATTAAAGATAACAGGCAAAAAATATTCAACTAGTTTGTATAGTTTCTTTGGCATACTCTATATAAATAAAAATAAAAATAATACTGATGATGATAATGATGAATATCGTGGAAGATTTTAGGAAGATATAAGGATACATTTAACAAATATATTTTAAACAACATGGTTTTAGGGGATAATTGTTTTTATTATAAACTATTTGATGTAGTTGTGACTATTTGATTCTTTACCTCGGTCAATAACTTTAACAATGATTTTATTTTCATATGCATGGAAACATCAGTTACCTTGTAAATCAAATTATTCTTCCAAGCTTGTTTCAAACAATTTACACTGGTTGTTTTGCATTTCAGTAGAAGGTTCAGGATTGGTCATATCTGCAACAGCATCATCAAGCTGCTTATCATTAATGGCTTCATGTTGCTTCAAGAGTTCATCTATGACCACAGTAGCTTGATTTGTTTCTCTTTGGTATCTTGAAAACTGTTGAAGATTTTTAAGTCTTAGTCTTGTAGTATATTTGTGATAGTATATTTACATGGTTTTTAAATCCCAAACGAGCTACAATAATTTATATTGATTGATTTACCATAGATCCGCCGCTCATATCGATATATCACACAAAATTTCTAAATAGTAGCGTTATTGCATATTTTAAAAAGCTTGTTATATGCATGAAAAATATTCAACCCATAAAGTAATGATTTTTGTGGCAACTGTTAGTTCGACTCCATCGACAATTTCAGATAGTTATTGCTCTTCGCATTTATTTTCTCACTTAGTCTTTCATTAATGAATACTTTTGAATTGCTTCAGCGTTGCAGAATTTTTGTTGATGATTGCGTTCATTCATATCAAACTTCTTATCATCTTCTCTAGTTCTTGTTTACTGTGAAATGTGGTCACATGCATCGCTATAAGTAACTTCAATCAAAATCAACATATGAAAAATTTTGCGAAAAAGGAATAATTGATTGAAAACGTAATGGCCTTAAACTGCTCTCTTTCTAAGTTTCCATCATTGAGCAAAGGCAA